GTTGTTGCTAATAAATTTGCACTGAGTCTTTTAGGAAAACATTTTCTCCTGACCCTTAAAAGGCTTTAAAACCATGTGCCAAGAATTCATCATAGCAGCAGACAACACCCAAAATATTGAGCTAGGGCTTATAAAGCCACCTCCCTCCTCGTCATTTTTTCCTTTAAAGCTTAGTTTCTTTACTTTTAATTACCAGTTCACATTTCTCTGGTTTCTCATCTTGGAATAAATGACATTCACAATCCCTTGAACTGCTTCACCTGGACTTCAGCCCCCAGGTACACATGAGATCCAGGATCCATTTTTCTTTTGCATTACCCTGCCCAGCAATTTCATTCTTTTGTCTGAAGATGAACTATTTTGCAAGATTTCTGACCTTGTCATATAAGGAAGTTCCTTCCACCCAGCTTTAACAACACAGTGTCAACACCTCACACCGTAGTTCCTTAATAGTTCCACATACAGCATTTTAGTCGTTCATGCAAACTGTAAACAACAGTGTGGAGAGGGAGGAGTTTGAGGATATGAGTCTTCCTGAGTTGAGACTTGCCCACTGGCTGCCTCAAGTATACTTTATTCCATTGAATGTTTGCAGTCACAGAGAGAACTTAGAGTTATATGACACTCGAAGGAAAAGCAAAAGAGCATTAAGAAGTGTCTGTTTTTGTTATTGCCATTTCATAAATATTTTAGTAGGTGTTCAATTTCATTGGATATTCTTTTTTTTTTTAATTGTCTTTGTACCTATGATTGAAAACGGTAGTTGGTCTATGACTTTTGAGGAGGTAAGTTTCTTTTTTTAATCTATGTATGTCTGTAACATCGGTGTCTGTCTCTTTGAAAAATGCAGTATCCTCCTCCCAAAAGTTACTAACCAAACTTTCCCAGCTGTACATCTCCTATCCATAAGGGGTGAAACTATGAGGACAGTTGTTATCTGCTTTTTGTTCAAATGGTGTCAGTTGTGTGAGATGGGGAGGATATGTTTCAGACAGTGTGATGTGAATGTTAAGAGTTATGTAAGCAGTGTCTCCTGTAATCTTTTCTGAAAGGCAAGAGGGAACCAGTTTGCCTGTTTTGTTTACAGGCTTTGAGCAGTCAGCACATCTGCTTGTGCAAACTTAGAGCATGTGAATTTCTCTGGGCTGACTGAGGTTATTGGGGCTGACTTTAAGTCTGTCTCCCATGGGCAACCCTTGTTAACATTTCAAAATGAACCAAGCAGGGTTACTACCTTTCCCAAGACCATCAAAACCAAACTCTCTTCTCCATTCTAGAATACAGGCAAACTTTTTCTGGAATGGGTCAGTATTGAAAACAGTTTTGGCTCCTTGAGAAGAACTGTAAAAGACAGCCAAGTAATATAAGCTCTGTTTAGCCCTCAGTAGGTAAGTGTGGGCAAGTTCTTTGTAGAAAATCTCCATCTCAGTAGCAGGGTCTCACTGTAGTGCTCAGTAGCACTCACCCTGGGTTCATACTTTGGAGGATGATACTGCATTTTTGGCCCCGTAGCTTGCTTTCCCACTTGTCTGTGAGTGCAGAGCAGGAGTCTGACACTTCCCACTGTGCTGCTTGCTTTGCAGACACTAAATTGAAGCTTCTTGCTAAAGCAAAAGCAAGTAGGCGTGCCCTCTAGGCTATTTTGCTTTGCAGGGACCGAGACTCTCAGTTTCTCCCAAATCTTTTCCCACCCTTGCCCTTGCCCCTTTAAGTGTGTGTCTGTAAGAAAGGGTTTCAGTTGCAACAGTCATTGTAATGAGAAGTTACTAGTCAGAATTTCAGCTGAACTCACACCTCTTTCTTATATAACAGATAATCCATCAGACATTTATCTCTAATCAACAGTGAAGTAGCTACCTGGTATGATTTCTAAATACTTGAACAAAGTACTTTTCCACGAACATCCTATGACTTTACCTGGAGGTTACTTTAACTCAATTCTAAGCATATAATTGTAACCTGAAAAACTGGTAGTGGCAACATTTTCACTTGTGCCAAATGGATGTAATGTACATAATAGTCGAGGGAGGTTTTTGTACTTTGGGGTTATACAAGTACAATTTCAATAGCAATAGGACACTTAACTCGGGAATAGCTATTAAAGTAGTCTTATCTTAGTTTCTTGAAAAGATTTATCAAGAAATGAGAAAAATCTCTTCCCTGGCTAAGCAGCTGCATTGTGAAATATGTCATGTTGAAATTGTGCTGGTATTGTTACTCTTTCCTGGCTAGAAGGAAATTTATTGAAAAAGCTTCTCAAATCTTTTTTTAATCTAAGTTTCCTGTAAGTATATAAGTTTTTTGTTTTTTTTTTCCCATGAAAAGGAGTAATAGATATATCAGAAATAAAGGCTAACTCTCCAGCCCCTGCTAGAAATTGTGTTACTTAGGCAAAGATTGAAAGATTTCATTGTAGAAGCTCTGGCTTTTTAGAAATCTGATTTTTAGTCTCTACATTTATTATGCTTCTGTGGGAGGGTGGAACTTCTGTAGATTGAGGGAACTGACAGAATCTGATGAGTACAAGTTGCCTCTACAAGAGCATACACAGTCTTCTCAGGAACATCTGGGGAAAGAGTTCCTAGCAAGGCACCACTTCTTAGGAGTTACATTATATCTTGGTCAAAAAGGAGGATCTAATATGGTTTTGTGTAGAATATGACCTTCTGACAGAAGTGGACTTAAAATTTTTTTTTTCTCATTTTGGCATCTTATCCCTTCCAATGGAATTAAAATTCTGAATTTTTTTTTCCTTAATAAAACTATTTTTTAAATCCTATTACAAATATATATTCATTGTAGAAAACTTGAAAACATTTTTAAAAGGAAAAGGACAACAGTAAAGAAAATTCACTACCTACAGTTAATATTTATTGTTTATATTGTTATAATGAGATTCTCCAGTTATTTATTGGGGTTTTTTTCCCCCCCTACAAGGCAGTGTAAGCATTTCCTGTTATTATATATTTCTTTCTTTCTTTCTTTTCTTTTTTTTTTTTAGACGGGTTCTCACTCTGTCACCCAGGCTAGAGTGCAGTGGCATGATCACAGTTCACTGCAGCCTTGACTCCCTGGGTTCAAGTGATCCTCCAACCTCAGCCTCCCCAGTAGCTGGGATCATGTGTGCACACCACACCACCCAGCTAATTTTTTTTTTTTTAGATGGAGTCTCACTCACTCTGTCATCCAAGCTGAAGTGCAGTGGTGCAGTTTTGGCTCACTGCGAGCTCTGTCTTTCAGGTTCAAGCAGTTCTCCTGCCTCAGCCTCCTGAGTAGCTGGGATTACAGATGTGTATCACCATACCTGCCTAATTTTTGTATTTTGTTTTAGTAGAGATGAGATTTCACCATGTTGGCAAGGCTGGTCTTGAACTGACCTCAAGTGGTCCGCCCACCTCAGCCACCCAAAGTGCTGGGATTACAGGCATGAGCCACTGCGCCCAGCTGTACCCAGCTAATTACAAAAATTTGTTTTGTAGAGATGGGGTATTGCCATGTTGCCGAGGCTGGTCTTGAACTGCTGGGCTCAAGCAATCCTCCAGTCTCAGGCTCCCAAAGTGTTGGGATTACAGGCACGAGCCACTGCATCCAGCCTTCTCCAGTATTTTAACACTGAGTCGAATTCTATTGTGAATTTATTTGAAGTATGAAAGTGATTTGGGAGTGTTTTTATCTTTTTTAGTAGATATGTTTTTCAATAATGTTTTAATATTCTCCAACTTTTCTAATTTTTTTCCAAAAAAAAAAAAAAAAAGACAGAAATGGGCCCTGGTGGCTGGTTAATCAAGGTGCAATGTTTCTTAGCCCTTCTTTTAAAAAACAGGAAAAAGAAAGAAATTGTCTTCTCTTTCAATATAGCAAACACCAGGTTGTTATATAGAAGATAAAATTAACTTCACATTGCCTGGTATGCTATGATAAACTATCTTCCAAAACATATATTTGTCTTCTAGTTTTGTGTCACTGCTTTGTCAAAGGTTTTTGACAAAAAAAAAAAAAAGGTTTTTGCCACCTTTGCAGAAAACACTGTTAGGAGAGTAAATCTGAAAAACAGGAAGGTCTCGTGACATTAGTCTTTCCTGTCAGCTGTCTTTTGAATCTCCTATAACTGTTAACAGTAGCAAAGAAAGTAATTTTGATACTTTGGAATGGAAGACATGAAATAACTATTCTGAAAATAGTTGTGAACATACCAAGTTCACAGTGTTTAGTTAAGGAAAGACCTTGCTTCATAAGAATTAGTGACTGGGTTTTTTTTTTTTTCATTTGTTTGTTTTTGTTTTTTTATCATGTAACTTTGTTTCAGATTTTTCAAGGTTGGGGGGCAGAAATCCTCAGTAATTTATTTTACCTGGAATGTTTTACTCTGAAGTTTTTTTAAAAACAACAAAACTAGATATGACTATTGCTGTCACCCAAAAATAGGTGTTCAGAAAAGTAAATATATTCTTACTCAAAGAATAAAAATGTCGACTGTTAGCAAAGTCATGAACCCATGTGTCATGATTCTTGATTTAATGCTCTTAAATATACTCAATATGAACCTGTCTTAGAAAAACAATTTGAAGAAATGTCTAGTGGTTTTCCCCTGTTTCATTCCTACTGTGTCTTGTGGTTTCTCTTGAGGTCAAGGGTGAGACTACCGTGCATGTTTGAAATAAAGAATTGCTTGTGTCTGTGTTCTAGATCTATGTAAAAACCTCACAGGATTGGGGGGGTATGTTCAGAAAGTTTGCTGTTTGTGGCACATGTTTTATAATGAAGTTCCATCTTGAGAGTTTAAGGGACAAGTTTCACCGGGTAGAGAACCGCATCTGCATTGCTAGCTAAACTCACTGTTGTTTCCCATACAGCAATCCTGCCTTCCTGTGCCACTTGCGCCTTCTCCTTTTTACACCTTTGAAAGTTCACTTTGTTGCTTGTTTTTCCTCACTAGTTCTATTCATTTCTGTATGTCCAGACACTAATGCCCACCTCCGGCTGTTGTTCTTTTTCTGCAGAGGGAGAACCGAAGATTACAGGAGGCCAGCATGAGGTTGGAACAAGAGAATGATGACCTCGCCCATGAACTAGTAACAAGCAAAATTGCTCTACGGAATGACTTGGATCAGGTAAACTTTAGAAATGAGACTGTGATGACTTCCTCAGGGCAAAGACCAATTTGCCCTCACCGCTGCCCCCACAAGCTTGCTTTGTTCTTGACTTTGTTCTTGGTGAATGGAGGAGTGGCAGGGACAGTTTGTGTTAATTGGAGAGAGTGGAAAACACAAGCCTTTGAGAAAGGTTTGGGTCATTTCTAAATAGCATGTGTGACATAACTTTCTTTATACCTCTAAACTCTGTTATGTGTTTGTTGATACCTTTCCTGAACCAATGGCTGTCAGCATAATTATCTGAGAACATCAGTCACCAAGAATATACCTGTACTAATGCCACTCTAACAGTAGGCACCTTACTCTTTGTTCCGGTAAGAATTCTTCTCCAGAATAAATGTGAACTTTTACATGAAGTACCTACATTAAGAGTTGGATTGTTAGATTGATAGGCATCTGAGTGGCTGAGAGCCAGACTGCCCTATTGTGAATGCTGGCACCACCACTTGTGACCCATATGACCTCGGGCAGTTCTTAAGCTGTCTATAGATATAAAAAGGTGTCTATCTCATAGAGATGATATAACAAATAAGTAAAGCACTTCAATAGGATGTGTTCATTAAATGTTAGCTGTTGCTAGGAAGACCTTAAACTATTTAGCATTCCCTTGTTCTTTCCAACTAAGCTGACAGTCTTAGGACCTCCTGTTTTTTCTTGCTAGCATTTTCAGAAATAATTGGCAATATGGAAGCAGTCTTGTGCAGATTTAAAATTACCACTCTATTTTCTGACTTCTACAAAGTAAATATTCCCAACAGACAGTGGAGGGTCAGAAAAACGGACTCGCAGACTGTTGAGTCTGTAAGAGTCATTACCTGTGGTGTAAGTTTGCATTGACAATATTAAAAAATACAAATTCATTCATAACATAAATCTGCTTAAATGTTTACAATTAAAGGACAGCTGAAAATGGCCCCTGCCACAATTCCTGTTTTCCCATATAGATAGCCAATTTTGTGGCTCAAAAGTTCTAACCATAGTAAAGTTGGAGATAAGACCCATGTTCAGGAAAACAGTGCTGTATCTGGGAGAGGAGGACACTGAGAGAACTGGCACTAAAAGGAGTTCGAAAACAAAAACAAAAACAAGAACTGTGTTGCTTGGGACACGATATGCTTGGGAAGGTAGAAAAAGCAGCCCAGAGAATGCTTTTTTAAAAAGTTGTGGCCCTGTTAACTACAAACCTCCTTTAGCCCGCCCATTTGGAAGCTGTGAGAAGTGATATAAGAAATATGTGACTAGGAGAGTCAGAACCAAAGAAGGTAGCAGGATCTCCATTCAGTCAGGGTAAATTCAGCCTTACCTCAGTGGTCGTATTTTTGTATTCGAGACTGTTGAGATAAATCAGTGCTATAATGAAAGTCTTGGTTCTGTGTTAACTTTCCAAATGGGCTTGATTCTACCATTTTGAATCTTTTATCCATTAATAATTTTCTTACGATGGCTGACTAAATGAAACAATTTTTAAACAGTTGGATTCAGTGAGGATGCAGTGAAATGAGCTAAGGAGAATTTCAAAGTTGTTTGGGAAATGTAGTTGGTAATATGTGTTAAGACTTTAAAAGGTTTAAGCAATAATAAAATTAAATTTTACTATATACCCACTATATGCCAAGCACTAAATAAAGCAATGTATAAACATCATCTCATTTAATCTCCCTAATGACTCCAGGAAGCAGTTATTATTTTAATCTTCCATTTCATAAATGAGAAAACTATATAGATGAGGAAACTAGAGATCCTCTGACTTGTAAAGCTAAAAAAAAAAAGATGTGGTAAAAAAATGTATATACAAGGTTGTTTACTGCAGTGTTACTTGTAAGAATGGAAAATAGAAATATTATAATATCTATGTTCACTAGTAGGGGAGAGTGACAGTTTGACTGTCTTTCTGGAATAATTTTTTTTTAATGGGAAAATAATCATAAAGTAGTTTTTTAAAAATACTTTTTTTCTGTAAACAATAAACACTTATAATGTTTGCATCTAAATTTCAAGGGCTACTGGCTGGCACTGGGTCATCCTATTGGGAAGGGGACCGTAGTATACCTAGATAGGGAAGAAGCCCATAAGGAAGTACATCAAAATGTTACTGCCAGGTATCTCTGGGTGATAAGATTAAATCTGATTTTTATATTCATCTTTATAGTTTTTTTCCCATTTAGAATTTATACAAAGACCTTAAATTACCTAACCACCATAGGTTACGTAAAAATGAGGATTAGAACTTTTAAAAATCAGAAAAATAATGAACATTATAATATGCATATTATATATGAATATAATACTAAATAATATATATAACTTTAATCCAAAAAAAATTATCTTAAAAATCATTTATTCACCAAGAGAATCCTTTATGTGAGTCAGTCTGGAGTGACTGCCATTATAGGTATTCCTGAAGTAATTGGTTATTGAGTACTGGGGTAACTCATGATGTGAGTGCTAGAACAGCCCCTGAAGAAAAGGTTCCATCAGACCTTCATTCTTCCTCTCCCCTCTTCCCTCCTTGACTCTCCCTCTCTTTTAAGAAAAGTAAATATGACCTGGGCCCTCCCTTTTGGAGCTTTTTATCTAGATGAAAGAATCTAGATGAAAGAATAAAAACGCTATTTCATGCATATTTCCTCCTAACTTCTGATTTTGCAGTTTCCTCCTCATTAGGGTTTATTTGCCTACCAAAAAGCTGTCCCTACAGTTGAAGTGACCTGTCCCACCGGTCTTCTAGGAAAGGCCCTAGCCTGAGAGTGGCTTTGCAGGCCTTCACCCAGTTTGCCCAGTACTTTCCCATTCCCAGTTCATGAAAATCAGATCTTTTAACTAAAATAGCAAAACACTGGCAAACTTTAAACAAATATGAAAGCAGATTGTATTTAAGACGATATGTAAGCAAACAAACATGAATTAGGAAATTAGGTACTTTGCAAAAATAAATCATTCCTTACTCTGACCATTTTAGTGCTAATTTTGGGCTTCCTGGACACCAAAGGCTCTTCAGCTTTTGCCTCTGACAGAGCCTTCCTCTCTGAGAACTTGCCCTCTTTCAGATTCCTTAAATAAAGATTTCTCAGTGATAAGAAGTGAAAAAACGTACAACATCTCCATTTCAGTGTCTGCTTACTATCTGCTTTCAAGCCTTTCCTGTCTTTCCCTATTTGCAAGGAACAAAAGAGAAGAGACATGATTAGTACTGTCCTGCTGAGGACCAGGGGTCTAGGTTCCCTCTCACCATAGCAAGTTCTCTTAGACCAGAAGCTACATGGACTAAATGGAAAATTATTTTGTTTTGTTTCAAGTTGAACGACTGGCCTGGTTATTTCTTTCAGAAATCATTTCTCAAAGATCCTCATTTCTGGTATTAGGGCTGAGTCTTTGCTTTGTGGTTATTGGTTGATTCATGATTAAATCACACATTGCAGTGCTTGTTTCTCTCATATATGTGTAGCAGAAGCCCTGATTGCAATTAGAACTTTCAATATCAGTGAGACATTATAAGATGTTGGTAAGTGTTTAGACTTGATAATGACAATGTTTCTCTCAATCTTGTCAAATTATGGTGAAGGCTGTCGGGCGCGGTGGCTCATGCCTGTAATCCTAGCGCTTTGGGAAGCCGAGGTAGGTGAACTGCCTGAGCTTAGGAGTTCGAGACCAGCCTGGGGAACCCGGTGAAACCAAGTCTCTATTGCAGTTTCCTCCTTATTGGGGTTTATTTGCCTTTTGCTGTAGATATCTAGATTTTGCTCTAGAAATAAGTGAAGTTGCCTTAATCTTGACCTAATGAAGACTGTTTGACAGAAAATGTGCAAATAAAAATAATAGGTCTTCTTAGCATAAACATTTAGGTGTTTTTGAAAAAATTCCTCAGGGAAGTGCTTTTCCCCGTTTTCTTTTTCTTTCTTTCTTTCTTTCTTTTTTTTTTTTTTTTGAGACAGAGTCTACCTCTGTAGCCCAGGCTGGAGTGCAATAGCACGATCTTGGCTCACTGCAAGCTCCATCTCCTGGTTTCAAGCAATTCTCCTGCCTCTGTCTCCCGAGTAGCTGGAATTACAGGTGCCCACAACCATGCCTGGCTGATTTTTGTATTTTTTATAGAGATGGGGTTTCACCATGTTGGCCAGGCTGATCCCAAACTCCTGGCTTCAGGTGACCCACCCGTCTCGGCCTCCCACAGTGCTGGATTACAGGCGTGAGCCACCACGCCTGGCCAGCATTTACTTTATAACATTTTTGCAAAATGTTAAAATTTTAGATGGCTCTAAACTGGAAAAACCAAACTGAAGTTTCAGAGACCAAACTGAAAAAAAACATTTATTTTAGTATCATGATGAACATTATGAAAGGATCAGTCTCTTCACAAAGTGGAAATTGCTGTGCGTCCTGTTAAGAGGAAGCCTTAGTTGTAGTCTTCTTTTTTAGCAGGGCTCAAACATTCTGGGGTAGAACCTGAACCAGTGGGCTGCAGTTACAGGGAGCGAGTTGGTTCAGTTTTTAAGAACACTGCAATGAGCAGTACAGCTGCTCTTAAAGTGCCACTCTGTGCCCATCTGTCAGAGACTTTGGGAAGGTCTCCCTGCTTTGTGAGTAACCTCAGTCAGTCATCTGGCTTGGGGCTCTAGAATGGAAGTTTTGTGCTTCTGTGGTTTATTTATTTATTTATTTTTCTCTTTTTGTTTTCTTTTAAAATGCCATACTTTATGCCAGATGCTTCCATGATCAGGTGTCTTACAACTTAACTGAAAACTTAACTTGTAGTGTTCTCATTGCATTCTCGAGGTCTACCTCTCATTTTAGTATGTTAATCTGCTGTTAGATTTTCCCCCCTAAAATCTAATGCATCAGAGCAATTTTTAGTGTCTTAAAGACTTTTAAGGGACTTTTTCGCCTTAACTACCCAACGGTTTCAAATGATCTGCAAACAGAGCTCCAACCACTGGGCTATGAGCCATCAGGAGCCAGAAGACAGGGCAAGCAGAGCAGCTGGAATGCAGTTTCTCTACAGTCACCAGCAGACTGTGCTGGCCTGGCCATCTGGATGTGCAGGAGATATGGCAGAAAACAGACAGAAGGCCGCTTGGCCAGTCCTCAGCAGACTGGGCTGGCCTGGCCCATCTGGACATATGGGAGATATGGCAGAAGACAGACAGAAGGCCACCCAGCCAGTTTTCACCATTACTTGGATAACATTTTGCTGCTGTCAGCCAGGGATAGCTTCTTCACATAATTGCCTCTCCTCTGTGTCTGGGTTCTCTCTGCTGAACTCATCCTGTGGTCTTCTGCCATCTCCACCACATGCAGTCTACATCTGCAATGATTTAGCCACACCTCTTCATTCAACAAGTACTTAGGGAGCACCTGTGCTGTACTTGGCATTGGGCTTGGTGCTTGGGATAGGGTGATGAGCAAAAGAGATATGGTTCTTGCCTCCTGGAGCTTAACGCCTAGTAAGCAAGACGAATAAATCCCATGCGTAAGTTGTCATGACAGTCCTATCAAGGGAAATATGAGAGATTTAGATAGGGGAGCTAACTTAGATGGGAGTGAGTGGGCCAGGGCTGAGGGCATGCTTCATTGCCATGTGAACTTGAAGTCGTGGCCTAAAAGGTGAGAGCCCGGCGTGTTAAATAGACATCATCATTCTAGAAATACGATCTTTTCTTCCTGGATTCCTGGTCCATATTTCCGTTTTCTTCATGGCTCTCTCTATCATGGATTTTTGGTCTTAATTTCTCCTTACTAGACTCACTGCCCTGTGTGAGTGGCCATGTGGGCAGGTTTACCTCAACTAGTCCTTGAATTTATCACCTAATTGTTGTCCTCAGACCAGCCTGTCTGCTCCTCCTCTCTGAGTCAACCCTCATTCTCCACCAGTTGGAAGTTTCTGTGTGAGGCTCTACCCCTTCATCAGATCCATCTGCACAGAGTGAGTGCTGTTGTAACATCTAAAACTCTGTAAGAAGCATTTAGAAAGAGGATGGACTTTGATGTTATTCAAATCTGAATTCAGATCATGACTCTATTAAATGTGTGACCCCAGACAGTTTGTTGGATCTTTCCAAACCTCACTGTCATTATCTGTAAAATTATTGTTGGTGTGTGGATTAGAAATAATGTGCGCCAACTAGCTGGCACATAGTTGGCATTCAGTGAAAGCAGTCATCCCTTGGTTGAGCTAGGAGGGAAAAGAATGACTTGCAATAATTTTGGAACAGCAACTGAAGATTGGGTTTGGAGAAAATTTCCACACACTTTCTTTGCCCTATGTATGACTGTGATGTACCATGATTTGCAGGCAGAAGACAAGGCAGATGTGTTGAATAAGGAACTCCTCTTAACCAAACAGAGGCTGGTGGAGACTGAAGAGGAGAAGAGGAAGCAAGAGGAAGAGACTGCCCAGGTAAAAGGACTATGTAGGCTTTTCTTTGCAAAGGTATGTGGGTAGGGAATTGATTAATACTATAAAAAATCAGGAAAATTAAATGTCTTCTAAATCAAAGGTGATGTTAAAGCAGTAACGTAAGTAATTGAGTGTACTTACTCAACATTTTTGTTCAACATTTCTGACATCTTTTTTTTTTTGAAGTGTGTTAAAAGAGGAGGCAGTATTTCTACCCTTGAACAGCTTTTAGGAATTTGCCTTTACTGAGATATTTAGCAAGAGTGTTGAGTTTTCTCTAAGTTTAGTAACTTGGAATTATGATCCAAGAGCTTTGACGAATCTGCAAATTTTGTGTTGTATCTCCAAGACAAAGACTTCTCTAAAGTAGTTTCTGAGCATTGTTAAACCGAAAGCCTACAGAGACCTCTGCTGGGAGTTGCCACACAGCCCCTGCCTCAATCAGTCACACTTCATTTTCCTGATTCACACCTTAAGGAGCATCAGTATTCCTGGCAAAGCTTTCAAACCTATTTTCTGGGGGAATATAAAGAAACCTTTTGAGAAGCAGCCTTGAAGTTGGCACCCTACACTCTTCATGGGAGCTGTAAGGCCAATTAGCCAGAAAATGCCACCAGTGCAGAGCAGTGTAGGACAGGGGCAGAGAGGCCTATTGGCCCAAGGAATTGGAGCTTTCCACTTCCCCAAGGAAGAACATGCTGCTTCATCAATGTTTTCTACCCCTGTCAGTCCCAGCCAGGGACCTGACACAGATTAGATTATGAGTCAGTTTCATCACAAACAATTGAAGTCTTCTGCCAAGAGTGTGTTTGAATTTTACTAATGTAGCTAACTTATAAAGTGAGGAAGCATCTCAAATCGTGATTAGCTTATTTTAATGAGTTTCATTCTGAGACATCAGTAATACTAAATTTAAAGCACAGCATAAAGCATTTCAAAGATCTACATCCAAGCAACCAGAAAAAAAGTTCCACTAAAGTTACATGTGGAGGAATGTGTCATTTAGCACCTTCCAGACTTTATAAAAAGTGTTCCATGGTTTCTTTTTCCTTGGAATCTGATTTAATGAGTCTTTGGCATTTACAGCAGTCCACGATATATATTTTTTACCTACTCAAAAATTTTCAGGGGCTGATTACCCAGTTTTAGATTATTTAGGTTCCTTAATGGGTTTTGTTTTTTCTTTACTTCCTGCCATCTTTGGACCACTTAAACTACTCTAGATGAGGAATAAAGCTCTTGGCAAATGAACTTAACCCAGGTTCTACCTGCTCCATGGTTCCATAGACATATACTAGCCTGTAGGCAATTGATACCTAAAATGGGAAGGAATGTGACATTTGAATACTCACCTAGTATGTGGCAAGAACAATGCAAGATGCTTTGCACCCTCCCTCCCCTCCATGTGTGTGTCTGTGTGTGTGTCTGTCTGTGTGTGTGTAACTATTTTAATCATTATGGTACCCTTGTAAAATAGGGATTATTCCCATTTTCAGAGGAGGAAACTACGGCTTAGATAAATTTAGTGACCCTTGCTCAGAGACTTCAGCCAGCCAAGTCTGTCCTAACATCAATGGGGCCTTATCATGGGAGGCAAGAAGGTTACTGTTTATGTCCTTAAATTGGGTCAGATAGAGAATAAAGATCAATATAAACCACGGAGTTTAGATCAGTGTAACTTACCAATTGCTTTTAGAATTTTAGAATCTAACAGATATGAAGAAATTCAGAAATCTAATGAGGAGTGCAGTTATAAATTGCAATAATTTATGAACTAGCAATTACAGAGTATACACCATTAATAATTTGAGATGCTGTACTGCAGAATACATCTCTTTATTCTGATTATGTACTTAAAGTTTAAGCAGAGTTGTTTTTTGTTTGTTTCATTACTTGTTTGTTCAACAACTTCCAGAATTTAATTCTTTCCTTTGTATCTGGTAGCACCTGAGCTTTTCCATCACCTTCATTTTCCTATATGCCTAGAATTCTAGAGGTTCTGGGCCACAAAAATAACTGTGGTTATAACTATAGCATTCATAATTTAACATTTCAGTGACTGTAACAAGTACCTTCCATTATGTGTCACTTTAGCTCCTTCTAAAGTCAGTTTCTTTAGTCCCTGAATCTCCTGTCCTTCTCAAAAGCTCTTATTTTCTTCCATCTTTTCTAACTCTAGTCTCCAAAGCCTCTTGTTTCTGTCTCTAGAGAGGTAACAGCAGTAAAGGTAGACTATAAATAAGGAGGCCTATAATGATTTTTTTCAGTAATTTATAACATCAAGAGTAACAAATTTAGCATGCAGTATTGCCTTGATGTTTTGTTTTAGACTCTTATAAGGATGTTTTGTTTTAGACTCTTATAAGGATAAAGATAGCTTCAGAATGGACACTTATTTAGCAATATGTTTAGAAGTAGCATAAGCAATTTTATAATGGTGTTGCTCATATGTCTCATATTTTATAGAAAAGAAAGTAAGGTTTCTGCATCTCTGGAGATGATTGACTTTTTCAGATTATCAAGATGCACCTTCTATGAAGATAATTTATATAGTTAACATTGTTACCATTGTTACTGACTATGAATCAGACAGACTTGAATATAGATGTTTATGAAAATTTATTAAGATTTTGGCTGAATCCTGATATTTCTCATTCTGTTCTTTCTAGCTAAAAGAAGTCTTCAGGAAACAGCTAGAGAAGGCAGAATATGAAATAAAGAAGACTACAGCTATCATTGCTGAGTATAAACAGGTAATGTACCTCTGTGGCACATAGAGCTAGTTATAGTTTGCTGCTATAAAAGTAATTTTTAAATTTTTTTTTTGCTTGAGGCCAGGAGTTTGAGACTAGCCTGAGTGGCATAGCAGGATCCCATCTCTACAAAGAAAAAAATTTTTTAATTAGCCAGGCATAGTGGCGTGTGCCTATAGTCCCAGCTACCTGGGAGGCTGTGGCAGGAGGATCACTTGTACCTAGGAGTTTGAGGCTGCAGTAAACTATGGCTGCACCACTGCACTACAGCCTGGGCAACACAGCAAGACCCTATCTCTAAAATAAATAAATAAATAAATAAATTAAATAAATAAATAAATATTGTTGTTTTTCTTTGGGAAAGAAATATTTTTGTTTTTAAAGTTTCCAGAATAGTTTTCCAGATTTATTAAATTTAGTGACTCACTCTCTCCTTTGAAGCAGACAGTGGTTGGACATACCTATGACTTATAGCTTATTACTTATAACTGATAACTTGGGAGGTCTAACTGACCAAAACAATCTATTGGTTGTTTACAATGTTGGGTAGATTTAGAGGAACAGAAAACCTTTTGATGACTACTGAGATCCTGTTTCTGCCTTACTCAGATGCTAATTTCCAGTAGATCACACTCGGAACACCTGCCTCTTTGCAAAGTTTAGTTATTGTATTAAATGGCAGTAGCTGGGGGATCAGTGTATCCTTTGTTCCCACAGTACAGAATGTGGTGGGCACTCTTTTTCCCACATGGCTATGTGGCCTTCCCCTCTGCAGGCCAGTGCTAGCAGGAAGCTTTCTATTGTGAACCTTAAAATGCTTTTAACAAAGGGCTCATCTTCTTGAGGATGTTTCTGACCCCATCACCAGAATGGTGTCAGAAAGCCCCCCTTTCCTGGTATCTACTGGTACCTTCCTGTCCTTCCTGTTGGCTGGACATGGCAAGGACTCCTCTCATTGCTGAGACCCTGCGTGATCTGTTCAAATTCCAGGTTTCTAGAATTAATTAAAGTACCATATGCCATCTTCTCATCTAAGGATTTCCCTGGGGTCTTCTACTTCACATAGGACTCTGAAGTCTGATACTTACTTTTTTTTAAAAATGTGGTTTTTTTGCTTATAAATTAAATTTGTGTTCTTGTGGAAAATTAGAATAGTGCAGAGAAGCACAAAGAAAACAAATCTCCCTCAATCTTTCTAGCTAGAGATAATCATTGTAATATATTGAATATGCATTGTTGCTATACAAATGCTTTATAAATAAATTTATAATATATATAAACAGGATGAATTGTATTGTTTATCCTATTTTTTTGTAACTAGCTTTAGTTCACTTAATACATTATGAACATCTTTCCATAAGGAATCTGTATACTCGCGGAGGACTCAGAAATAAAACTTTAGAGCTATTTTACTTTTCTATGATAATCAACATATGTTTATTTAATGCCTTCTCTCTGTGAGGCTTAATACTTTGACAGACAAAAAGATGAATGAATTCCAGTTTTCTTCTCTAGAAGCTTATCATATAATGTGGAGATAATACCTATGTAGAAATAAGAGGAAAGGAAACTTATTATGTGTGGGAAATGAATCCTTTTGAGCTGCGCTTCAAAGGCTAGGTGAGACTTGGATCTGTAGAGATAAAGAAGACAAAGAAGAGGATGGAAATGGTAGAAAAGAGGGAACAGGATGTGCAAAGGCATGGAAGTAGATTAGTGAAGAGAAAAATAATTCATTTGGTAAGAGATTCCAGTACAAAAGAGAAGCAAAGGGACGTTAGGGTCCAGATCAAGGAAAGATCCGGGGCTAGGCTTGGGCCCTTGGATTTTATTTTGTTTGTGGTAGGACCTTTTTGAGCAGTAAAGTGGCATAATCAAAGACGTATTATTGGCACTAATCTGTCCCAGTAAGAAATGTGGAACCAAGGAGACAGACCACAAATACCAGAGTCCAAGTAAGAAGAACCAGGTCCCTGAATTCACAAAAGACAGTCTTTTTTTTTTTTTTTTTTGCTAGACAAGAGAAAACCTTGAAGGTGATCTGAGATGTTGAATGTGGGCATTAGGAGAAGAGGTGGTAGACATTAACCAATATAAGGAACGTTAAAGACCATGTGTTGTGGAATTTCCCATCACTACAAATGCATATTTTTCATTGCCAGATTATGCCATGGATGGCCACCAAATGCAGCACTCTTCAGATAGTAATCCTGGGGACTATTCTTGAATATTATCTGGCAAGCCCTTGAAATAACGCAAAAGGCAACAAACCCATCTGTTTGAAGATAATTAGGATATAAGACACAATCTAAATGTATTCTATAGTTGGAACATAGCTATTACTGGCTCTGTGCCTAATGTTTTGGTTTATTTAAAAGGGTTTAAGGTTTGCAGAATCTACCATGGTAATCTCTTCTTTTTAACATCAGTCAGTATAGTCCTACTAATGGTTCCTCAGGCTTGGATCTGGAGAATTGGAATGAAACTCAACAAACTAGACTCAGCAAGCAAGCCCTCATCTCCAGAGCTATTTTTGAGTAAATTGTGATTGTTTTTTAACGTATGTTTTGATAATAGAGGTAGACCATATATGTTTTTAGCCAAAATTGTACTTTAAAATTTCACATCCCCTGTTTTTCCATCTTTGTTTTGTTTTGTTTTGTTTTGTTTTTTGTGAGACAAGGTCTTGCTCCGTCACCCAGGCTGGAATGCAGTGATACAGTGGCCTGAACACAGCTCACTGCAGCCTTGACCTCCTGGGCTCAAGCTATCCTCCCACCTTTCATCCACTTTTCTAAAATAAAAGATTCTTATTTCAGGCAATGGATTTGAATATCCAGTTTCTATTTCTACCATCTATCTATTTCTACCATTTCTTTTATTTTTCTACCATTTCTAATACTTATTAGCACCTTATTTCAGAATCGAAAATAATAATAATAGATTTTATTTAATGTACGCTTACTATTGGCCAGGTGCTATGCTAACCCCTTTGCATACTTTTTTTCCACTTGATTGCTATAGCACAGCACTTTTTAGTCATGAGAAAACTGAGTCTTGGAAAGATTAATGACTTTGCCCAAGCTCACAAAGCTATAAAGAAATGGAGTTTGCTTTAAACTCACATTTAATTCCAGCAGCTAAGCTTTTAATTTCTATGCTGTGTTGCCAAACCTACTTAATAAGAGTTTTAGTCTGTATTAAGGTATTTTTCCTAATGTTATGCCTCCCGTAGTCCCCCACCCTTCCACCAGGCCCCGGTGTGTGATGTTCCCCTCCCTATGTCTATGTGTTCTCATTGTTCAACTCCCACTTATGAGTGAGAACATCACTCTGCCACTTCTTAAGGAAACTTTTGTGATTGAAAACAGGTTCTTTCTGTGACAGTAGACAGGAGATATTTCTGTCTAGAATTCTTTTCATCAAGATTTTCTCAGCATACTAACTTGCAGAAAGTGAATACTCAGCAAAGATTCTATAGGTTAATTCCAAAAGTGAAGCCAGGAATTCACTTGAACCAGTCACAGAAGGCTAGTGGCAGAAAGAAACCAAATCTACCCCCTGTATGTTTCTACTAATTAAGGTAGAGTATGCTTTACATATGGAACGTTCCGGCTTTCTGCTGCTCATTTCCCAAATGACTGGCATTTGCAGTGCTATTCATTTGCAAAATTCCTTCTAGGATCAGATGTGCTAGAGTAACATATGAATTGATAAGTAGTTATGTGTACATGCTGCAAGAGTTCTGTTTTCTAGTAAAAGACTCTTTTCTCATCCTTAGATCTGTTCACAGTTGAGTACCAGGCTGGAGAAACAGCAAGCAGCCAGCAAGGAGGAGCTGGAAGTGGTAAAGGTAAGGAGGGAAATCGTTCTGTGATAAAATTTATTTCAAAGTCCCACAGGCTTGTAAGTACCCAAAAGAATCCCCAACACCACCATTTTTATTAAAGGATTTATTAATAGGAATTATGGAGACTAGGATACCTGTCTTCTGACTGGGTGTGATTGTCTTCCCTGCCAGCTGAAAGGTTATGATGCTCCCATAAATCATGTGGACTGTCAGAGGCAGCTAACATGAAAGGAGGTGGAATTTGACATTGTCGCAAGAAGCCCCAGAGCTTGAGATGAGCCATGTAGCTTTCTTTGGTGGTGTGAACCTGAGAACCCTCAGCAGCCCACATCTGACTGAGCCTGCATTGATGTGGCTTCAGTATGGGACTCAGTAGGATCATCCCGTCACTCTCTTTATAAGTAAACACCATGGGCAATGTAGAACTTAGCTGGAAAAACATGTGTTGGGTAACTGATTCTTGCACTAAGTTTTAGAGGTTTATTTTTGAAGAAAATCTGTGGCATTTGTTTACTTGCTGCCCCCTGGTGGTAAAATGCATTATGTTGCTGCTCTATTTGAAAAAAACAGATTGCTTATTCCATAGAAACAACAGTAAACCAATGAATTGGTATTCTTAAGAGGCAGTGTTGTCACAGTCAACTTTTGGGACCAGTGTTACAGAAACCTGACATCATCTTATTTGAATATGTTCAGGTTTCATACTAGTAAATAAATGTGTATTAAGTAATTTAGCATATAATTTAACAATCTTGAAAAGTGATATAACCTTTCTAAGCTTCATTTTGTGTTCTATAAAATGGAGATAACATTACCTGCCTCATAAAATCATTCTGAATGTTAAATAAGATAATGACTATAAAGTATATGGTGTATATAAAGTGCTTAGATTAGTATCTGACATACAAGACCTTGTATTCCAAAAGTATTTTCTTCTTACTCATATTACAAAATATGAATCAGAGATTTAGTGAGTATAGGGTTTGGTGGTCTCCCTCTCTGATGAGATAAAATTTGATGTTTGTATCTTCCCTTTCTGGTCTACCTTTGCACTTCTTTCTAGTTAGCACTTATCACTCTTTGTACATTATAGGCATACTGACCAAGATTCAGTTGATGAAGTGTTGTGGTATAAAGGGGTTATCTATCCTGAAGTGAATTTTTTTTTTTATTTCTTCTTAAAAAAAAAAAACAAAGGGGGATACATGTGCAGAAGGTGCAGGTTTGTTACATAGGTATACATGTGCCATGGTGGTTGCTATGCCTGTTAACCCGTCCTCTAAGTTCCCTCCCTTCAGTCCCCATCCCCAACAACAGGCCCTGGTGAGTGTTGTTCCCCTCGTGTGTGCCCATGTGTTCTCAGTGTTGAACTGAAATCTTTATGGAAATAACAAAATGAGAATTTATATTGATTACTCACTGAAGGTTTTACTGAGCATACACTATGCGCATAGCTATTAGACTGCCATTTTGTTATAGAAATTACCCATGAAAAGGAGCTTAAAATTTTCCTGTAGGACAAGTTACACATGCAAATTAAGAACTTAGGAAGCAGTTCAAGGGAGCTCAGCTGGGCCAGGTGCAGTGGCTAACGCCGGTAATCCCAGCACTTTGGGAGGCTGAAGTGGGCAAATCACTTGACGTCAGGAGTTCAAGACCAGCCTGGCCATCATGGTGAAACCCTGTCTCTACTAAAAATAACAAAAATTAGCCAGGCATAGTGGCTCACACCTGTAATCTCAGCTACTCGGGAGGCTGAGGCAAGAGAATCACTTGAACCCAGGAGGCGGAGGTTGCAGTGAGCCAAGATTGTGCCACTGTACTCCAGCCTGAGCAGCAGAGTGAGATTCCATCTCAAAAAAACAAAAAACAAAAAAAAGTGCTAAGCTGGATCACACTGACAATCAGCGTCGCAGAGAAAACAAAATCATGAGAACTATAGACCAAAAAAGCAGGGTGGATAGAAATTAGTTAGAGAGAAGTGTTTAAAAAGAACATTATAGAAGAAATGATGTGAGTGAAAACCCAAACATAGGAATGAGTGTGGCTTTATCATCAATAAAAAAGAAGATATACTGTCTTTTTTAAAAAATTATATTAATGACAAATGATTATCATTAATCGTTTAATTATAAATGAGTATTAATACTCATTTTAGGAATGAGTGTTTCAGTGTCTCATTACAGAGAGTGATGTGGTTAGAATATGTATTAAGGAACAGAGGAAAACATTGGCTAAGTAGGTGAGACTGCCTAATGGAAGTCCATGACATTCAGGAAGAGGAATATAAACTTGTCTTAGCCAGAATAAAGAACAACTAGGCTCATGCCTGTCATTCCAACACTTTGGGGAGGCCTAGGTGGGCGGATCACTTGAGTACAGGAGTTCAAGACCAGCCTGGGCAACTTGGTGAAACCCCGTCTCTACAAAAAATACAAAAATTAGCTGGATGTGATGGCATGCATCTGTAGTCCTAGCTCCTCAGGAGGCTGAGGTGGGAGGATTGCTTGAGCCCAGGAGGCTGAAGCTGCAGTGAACTGTGAGCATGCCATGGCACTCCAGCCTGGGTGACAGACCCTGGTACAAAATTTAAAAAAATAAAAAAGACAGTATATCTTCTTTTTTTATTGATGATAAAGCCACAAACAGGTAATTCATTTGATCAAGGTTACACAGCTAGTAGAACCAGGATTTAAGCCTGGAAGTCAGACTCTAAAGTCAGTAACATTAGCCGTTAGACTATACCACCTCCCATTTCTCTAGTGCTTCTTCCTATCTCATTTGGTATGATAGATAGCTTTTGTTTTTTTCAGTTTCCTATAATAACCTTCTTTTGTCATGATCACACCCCAGTTCATCCTTTACACTATAATCAGAATGAGTGTTCCCAAATATAAAGTGAGATTTGACTATCATTCTGTGTATCAATGCAGAATTAGATTGGCCACATATAGGGAACCCAGAATAGCATTGGCTTAACCATAAAAGGTGTTGATTATTTTACATAAAAGCAGCTTAGGACTAGAAAGGTATACCCTTGGTGTCATTAGTAACCCAAGCTAATCAGTCATTAGTGACCCACATCTTCATGTGGACTTCTATCCTCAAGGTCACCTAGAAACCAATCCTTTCTTTTTTTTTTTTTTTTGAGACAGAGTCTTGCCCTGTTGCCCAGTCTGGAGTACAATGGCACAATCTCAGCTCACTGCAACCTCTGCCTCCCGGGTTCAAGAGATTCTCCTGCCTCAGCCTCCCGAGTAGCTGGGATTACAGGCACGCACCTCCACGCCCAGCTAATTTTTGTATTTTTAGTAGAAAAATACAAAATACATGGTTCACCATGTTGGCCAAGCTGATCTCGAACTCCTGACCTTGTGTCCCACCCACCTCAGCCTCCCAAAGTGCTGAGATTACAGGCGTGAGCTGCCGCGCCCAGCCCAAAACCAATCCTTTCAATTAGAGCTCCCACCATCACACCCATACTCTAGGGCAGAATTTTAGTCCGAAAGGAGATGCAGGATATAAAGGCCTCATTCATCTGGGTGAGCTCTTTCTAAGCAGCCTTCTTAGAAGCTCCCCTCTAAACTTCTGCTTACATAGCAGCTTTGAGGGAATTTAGGGAGTGTCACCTTTTATCTAGACACACTGCCAGCTCAAATAAACTCAGGGCCTGTTAGGAAGAAGGAGAAATGGATATTGGGTGAGAATCAGCAGTAGCCATCACATTTTAGCAGGTCTGCCAAACTGCAGCTCTGTCAAACTTATTGCTCTATCTTTGACATGTAGCACCGGGCTCAGTAGAGTAAATGAATGCATTTTCTGTAGGATAAAATCAGAATTCAGCAACATGGTATTTAAGGACCTTTATGACCCGGGCACAGAGATCTCTCATCTCGCTCATTGTTGAATCACTTTCTGCTTAAGCCATTTTGAATTCTTTGAAGTTATCTGAAGGTGCTATGTCTTTGCACATGGAGGTGTTCTCTTTGCGGAAATGTCATCCTCCCTCTTATGTGATCAATCTATTTCTTCATGTGGTTCAACCTAATAAAATTACTTAGCCAACTCAGTAAATTTTTAATCATTTAAGACTCAGATCAAAAGCTATTTAACATTTTTAGTCAACAGTAAACACACAACAAATATTTACAATATGCCTATACTGGGCTAATTATTCTCAGAGATTCTTAAGTAACAGAATGACAAGTTTTGTTTTTTCATGTCTGATGAATATTAATGAACAGGAATACAAAGAGTAGATTATGGATGGGATGAGAAGGAAGCCAGTGAGTACTGAGAAGGCGACCCTTAGGGATTCAGCCTGGAATGGCAAGAGCTCAGACATGTCAGAGGAGAAAATTTTTTTTTTTTTCTTTTTGAGACGGAGTCTTGCTCTGTCGCCAGGCTGTAGTGCAGTGGTGTGATCTCGGCTCACTGCAATTCTCGCCTCCTGGGTTCACACGATTCTGCTGCCTCAGCCTCCCAAGTAGTTGGGACTATAGGTGCGCACCATCATGCCCAGCTAATTTTTGTAGTTTTAGTAGAGACGGGGTTTCACCATGTTGTCCAGGTTGGTCTGGATCTCGACCTCGGGATCCACTCACCTTGGCCTCCCAAAGTTCTGGTATTACAGGCGTGAGCCACTGCACCCGGCCCAAGAGGAAGAAATTAATGGTCAACTGGACATAGGATGAAAGAGAAGCTAATGAAAAGATGATCCAAAGTCTTCAGGCCCAAATGGTGGAGACATGCCCAGTGGCACAGAAGTGTGGTGGAGACTTGCTTTTTGTGTGTGAAGAGAGGAGGATGGGCATGGTGATGGACACATGGAGCTTGTTGTAGCAGTAGGGCATCAAAGTAGAAATAGCGTGTAATATCTTTTACCTCTACTGAATTATTTTTTAAAATACTTTAAGAAAACAACAGCACTATTGTCTGGAAAACAGCTGCTGTTGTTCAGTGCTATGTGCCCAACTGGCAATCTGGGCATGTGGTAGTTACTTTTTTTTTTTTTTTCCCTGAGATGGTGTCTTATTCTGTCGCCCAGGCTGGAGTGCAGTAGTGCAATCTCAGCTCACTGCAACCTCTACCTCCCGGGTTCAAGCGATTCTCCTGCCTCAGCTTCCCGAGTAGCTGGGACTATAGGCACATGCCACTACACCTGGCTAATTTTTTGTATTTTTAGTAGAGATGGGGTTTCACCATGTTAGCCAGGCTGGTCTCAATCTCCTGACTTTGTGATCCGCCCACCTCAGCCTCTCAAAGTGCTGGGATTACAGGCATGAGCCACTGCACCAGGCCGGAGTTACTTTTATTACTTTAAACAATAGGGGTCCTCTTTGCTTAAAACTCAGCAACAGAACATGTGCTTTGTTGCAAGGGTAGATTTAGGCTAGTCATGATGACCGTCCTCAGTCTACTGTAGGCAAGTTCTTTAAACTCTGAGTTTCTTTCTTTATGAAATGAGGATGATGATAGTGCTTACTTACAGAGTTGCTTTAGGATTAGTAAAATACTACAAGTAAAGCATTTGGTGTGGTGCTTGGCATCTAGTAAGAATAATGATAGCATAAAATTTCTAGAACAGATTTCAAAGAGATGCTACAATACTTTCTATTTCTAGGGTATTTCTAGAGATACTTCAGGAAAAAGGAGCACCCATCTTGGATAGTTGGGTTTGGGCTGACTAATGATTTTGATTGCAGCACAAGAAAAATAACCTTCAGAAATGGGCCTGCATTCGTGACAATAAACAGCATCTAAAAAAGTCATATATTGTTTCAGAAAGTGATTTAGCCTATGGAATACAGCTTGATGTTGGTTGTCTCTTTTGGATACTTTAGGGTAAGATGATGGCATGCAAACACTGCAGTGACATTTTCAGCAAGGAGGGTGCTTTGAAACTAGCAGCCACAAGCAGAGAGGACCAGGGAATTGAAACGGATGATGAGAAGGACTCACTTAAGAAGCAACTGAGAGAGATGGAACTGGAACTGGCACAAACCAAACTGCAGTTGGTGGAGGCCAAGTGTAAAATTCAGGTTGGTGATTTGATAAAAGGACAAGAAGAAAGAATAAACAATTAATGGTCCAGGATACTCTGGTACTTCAGAATATACCTATCTAGGTCAGAATTGTATGATGAATATGTTTTCTATCTGCTAATGTGTCCTGCATAATCACATTTTATATCATGTATTCTTAACACTGATATAAACAAATACATAATTTTAAATGAAATTTTAATAATTAAAAGTATATCTTAGGAGAACTTAATTAAGCATATGCTTTTTGTTTTTTTTACCCTGAGATTTTTTGCTTACATCCTTTCTCACAGAATGTGGTCACTTCAGTGGCTGATCCTGAAAATGAAAAACCAAAGCCCCTCTGCTGTGTGTACCCTGAGAGCCACACATTGGCTGACACCCGTTCTTTTCTTTGGAGCTGCTTTTTATCTTTAGCTCATTTTGTCAACCCCCTTTCCCCATTATCTTTCTCCATATTGGAGCATAATATAATTAGAAATAGTCCTGGCTTCTGATGGACTCTTCTTCATTTCATTTTCTCAGTGATCCCTACCAGCGCCATAGCTGCCATGTCGCCAGCCTGCACCACACCAGCCAGCTTCCACCATGTGTCTGCTCTGACCCTGGACATTCTTAGGGCAAAGCCTATTTCTTTGGAACTGGAATTCATTCATGCTTATACTACCAGTAAAAATTCATCCATATATTTACATTTATTTGTGGTTTTTAAACCTGTTATCTTGGGTTGCAACCTAAACCTAAATTTGGATCTAACTTGCAGGGAGAAAAAGAATAAAATCAGGTTTTCTTTCACTGTTGACAGAAAGTACAGATTCCCGTTTTTTGATAAATCTTTTAGCTCTTAACTTTATCCTTGTAGTAACCAATTCAATCTCTCCTGGGTTTTGTGGGAGGAAAATTGGCAGCACATACCTTGAGACTCCAAAAAGCTGCACATTTTAAAAAATTAATTAATGTATTTATTTATTGGCAAAAAGAAAACATTTATTTAACTCAGATTATTTTCTTGCTTTAATTAGGAACTTGAACATCAGAGAGGAGCCCTTATGAATGAAATCCAAGCTGCAAAAAACTCTTGGTTTAGCAAAACCCTGAACTCTATCAAAACGGCCACGGGCACCCAGCCATTGCAGCCAGCACCGGTCACCCAGCCACCCAAGGAGAGCACATAGTTCCAGCCTTACCCAAGCACAAGAGCACAATGTTCAAAGCAGTGGAAATCTGGGAGGATTCTTCCTGGTGTCCCTTTGAAGGAAAGTCAAGGAGGCCAGAAAACAAGCCAGAATCTTTCAGTAGCTCTCTTTCTTGTATGACACTTTTCAAAGGGAGGTTACTTAAACTGACCTGTTTTATGTTGAATATCTATTTTCCAGCTTCTTCATGGAAGGCCATGTTCAGATCCATCATAGTATTAACACATTATTTTGTTTGCCTGATGTTTAGTTGGAAATAAGTAATTCAGAACTAAATGCTCTTTTATTTAGAACTAATTATTCATAATTATTTTTATCTTACGTAAAAATGGAGATATCTGTTATTCCAAGGTTGAAGTGAAGTGATAGGAAGATCTTTGTCACAGGAAAAAAAAACATTGAAACCTAAACCTCTTAGCTTTTCAGGATTTATTCAGATAAAGCACACTGTGGGGCCAGGCATGACCGCTCTCAGGTTTCCTCCTGAGCCTGATTCCCAGGGGAGTGATAATCCTGTCCAAAGGAAAGAACCAATCAGTGATCATTGGTTTACTTTCATTATCTGGAAATGAAGTGCCAGGAATAGATGGGCTATTCAGATTATACATTAGGTAAAAGGAATTGAGATTTTAATAAGTATAGGTTAGGATCATTTGGGCTGTGGTATTCTAACAGATCCTTTTAAGAACTCCACATGGGACTTGTGAGTTCCTAAGTATGCCTAAGTATGGACACAGGTGTGACTTCTGGCACTTATAAAGTTAAAGGTGGATATTGCGCCTTACAGACTTAGGGAGCCTTTACCAGAGACGCCTAAAAAGTCCCAGGTTCAGCCATTGTGCTGAATAGAGTGGAATACAGAACCAGGGACAGAGTATTTCATTTAACGTTGATAGATACTTGCTAAGGAAACACTAACAATACTGTAACTTTGTTAAAGGACATAGTATTGAAATGAGAAATAGAGGTCAGGCTCACATCATCTTAGCTTAATGTTGGGCAACTTTTTCCAATTTCGGTAGTTCACTGAAAATGTGTCCTTCATACCCATAAAGAGATACAAATGCATTTGTAACATTTTTGATTGAATATAAAACCTTTACAGAAATACTTATCTCATGGAAAGGTAAAGCTATTGTTTAAAAATTAGTGGAAATATTTTTTCAATTATATTTAACATGCCTATAAAAATAGTCCTTGCAGGAAATTATTTGATAAGAGCAAAACTATTTTTATTTTATAAACTATTTTGGAGGCCTCTGTTCCTTTCACACCAACCAAACTACTATTAGATATGTACAATAACATTTGTTGATATACATCATTGGCCTCACTGTTGAACATATTATTTGCAAAGAATCTTAAACTCTGCAGTGCCAGAATGATTTTCATCTGTGCCATATGTTGCAATTAAAAGTAACACACCCTTAGAAAAATCAAATAAGAGCCATCTCCACCCCAGGAGGATACAGCAAGTTGCTCACGGTGGATCTTTTCCTCTAAAATGATCTTTTATGTTCTAAAAAGTGAAATCCCCTTTTTCTGTGTTTATATTATCTACAGCCCATAAAACTGATGTGATTATTATGTTATACTCATCAGATAATACTTTTCTTACATAAATCTTTTGTTGTTCTGACATCTTTCATTACAAAATTTATTTTCTTACCAAAAAGGAACATAACTCAGCATTCCAGGTGTCTATATTGACTTTAATATTCTCTACATGGTGGTCTAGAGAAGCTAATTTTTTTTTTTTTTTTTTGTAAAATATAGTAGCTAGAAAATGTTATCTTGGCACTTGTTTTTGTAAATCATTTAGTATAGGCTGTTAGCTTTACTGGTACTTTACGCTTTGATTCCAAGAAGCCCTGTGCAGTTGCCTTATCAAATGGCCAGCTAAATTAAAGATGCTCTTTTGTGTTGTGAATTTCATAATTCTGTACAGAGCTTGTTTCAACTTACAAAAATAAGTACATTCCACAGAATGCCTAAAGTGCATAATTTTCTTTAAATAATAGGTGAGGGAGAAACATAATGGCTCTAGGTTAATCCCTTATCTGGAGACCTTGTTCAACTTCATAGTCCCTTTCCTTTTGAAGAGAAAAATCCTCCCCCAGCCAAGCATGGTGGCTCACATCTGTAATCCCAGCACTTTGGGAGGCCAAGGTGAGTGGACCACCTAAGGTCAGGAGTTTGAGGCCAGCCTGGCCAACATGGTGAAACCCTGTCTCTATTAAAAATACAAAAATTAGCCAGGTGTGGTGGCAGGCGCCTGTAATCCCAGCCTATTCAGGAGGTGGAGGCAGGAGAATTGCTTGAATCCAGGAGGCAGAGGTTGTAGTGGGCCAAGATTATGCCATTGCACTCCAGGCTGGGCGACAAGAGCAAAATTCTGTCTCAAAAAAGAAAAATCACCAGGTACATACCTCTCAAGTTTGATAAGTCCATCTTTTGAGTTTTCTTTTAGCTCTTTCAAAAGATTGTAAGGGCAATACATAGTTGTGTTTTTTTTTATTCTCCAGCCCCATATCATACTTGGATATGCCTGTTGGTACCATAAGCCTAAACTCTCCCTCACTGCAATGCCTTTGAGTCAGCAGCAATAGTAAAGACAAGAAACAAAGAAAATTCAGAATTTGGTATGTGGTATGATTGTTCATACAATATGTTATAATAGCAATATTCCAAACAATATGTCCTTCACTGTCTGTTGTTTGAAAACTCATGCATCCCAGCATGAAGTAACTACTAGTTTTAATTTCACTTATTTTGAGATATATTTGAGAATTGCATCTCTTCTATTGAATTTCATTTAGAAGAGATGAACCAGCCAAATATCCAGGAAGGTTTCAAAATATTCTAGTGTTTTTCATCCTTTCCTAGGATGTGCTCTGTATAAAACATTCCTCTGAAAATCTAATATTTGTAATATCTAAGAATTGATCATTTCTATTTTCATTAAATTCTGTAGAAAAAAATAAATGAATGAAATTCAACTTCATAATTCAGTTCATCAGCTTTTATATCTTGAGAATCTTAACACATTCTTTAAATCTGAAAGAAACCAAGCTGGATTTTGCAGTGCATATGTTTGCTAGCTTCCCACATCCTGAACCATGTCAAAATTTGGTTATATTTAGTTATATATAATTTAATGCAAAGAAATTCTCAGTTACTTAATGTTCTGTTTATTTATGAGTGCCTATCAGGAACACTAATAGAAATGCCATTCAACCGGTGTCTTCTCCTGCCCTTCTCCCAGCTGTTAAATTAATACTTTCCTCTTCATTGGCTTTCTGAAATGCCCTGAGTAAAGTAGAAAAGCGACCTTTGTACGGATGTGGGGATATTTAATACTATGTATCTTGTTCCATTTTTTTCTAGGGTGTATTAATATTTATTTTTCTCCAACGTCTGCTCCATTTTCTTAAAATATTTTCCAGTTAATAGTTAGTTGCTTTATTTCCTAGCTGAAGTGAGAAAACCAAGAGAAAGCAACACAGATTTGGGCAGAGGAGATACAGTTAGATCCTTAAAGGAGTCAGCCACCCACCCAGAAGGAGAATCACATGTGTAACTGATGTAGGGGTTTAAGCCTTCTTTTACTTTCGCTAAAATCAGTCTACTAACTCTTCCACCAACCTTTGCATCAAACACTTAGGTAGCTGCCTGATTAGGGGGCCCCTTGAAGGGGGAAAAAAAAACTTTTTAAAAATTAAATGCCTTGGTTTTATCTTCTGGGAAAGAACACTTTTACTTGATTAACAAGATGATTATATTATATAACTTGCCCTTAAAAACACTCCAAAATACTGACTCCTTTGCTCCAATTACAAGTGAGAGAGTGAAGAAATTCTGTTGTATGATTTGAACACTATTAGGTTTGTATGTGTGTTTAATTGGAAGAATTTTATATAGAGTATCTCTGCTTCTTTTGTTTCCCTGGGTACCACACAACCAAATACACATTGAGATTTCAAGAAATAATGATGAAAGCCAGAAGGCCAGACCACAGCTCTGCAGCCTGTTTCCTATTATCAGATATGAAACTCTTTCTCATTACCATGCTGATAGTCACACTGAACTAGAACTGTCCCAACACATACTTTCTCTCTCATAGTGGCTTCCATTTAACACAGGCAAAGCCCTTTACCTTAGCAAATTCTTTATCTTTCAAAAGTGACCAAAATGAGGACTTCAACCTTGGTTGCTCCTCAATAGAGATGCTGATCTTGAGTTGTAATGAGAAAAGTGGACATATAGATTTTAGTGACTGCAGTCAGCTCTCTGGCATTCCTTTCTCAGTTTGCATCTAAAAGACTACAATATGTCAAGCTTATCTCCACCTGAATTTGCTGCCTGCTATAAAAACATTTCATTAATATATCTCATTCTTCCTACCTCCATCTCTGGTTTGTCATTAGTGGTATTCTGAAAAGCTTAAGAAAAAAGAATCATTGAGTAGAAAGTGAACATTTTAAGTTATTTTCCTTTTTCACTGGCAATTAGTTAACATGTAAAATCTTTTCCATTAAACTCTATAACTTTTAATAACTATATATTATATATGGGATAAAATATATGGACTGAATTGTGAGAATATAAATGCATCGAGAGACTCTGGTGTCATGAAAGCACAAGAATAAGGCTGGAGATGGTCCCAGATCCAAGATGTCCCAAAAGCCTTTTGTATCAGTTTCTCTATTTTTGGTATTTTGCATAATGCATGGATCCTTAGTTCAAATGAGGGACACAGTTTCTCAGCCCCACTTCTTTCTTTCCAACTCCTACCTTTCCCTTGCAGAGGTAGTAGAGATTCTGAATTATCTATTATGAATTCTATTATTTTGTCCATGGCATCTCTAATGAAAACAGGTTCTAGAATAAAGGAGTTGATTAGTCTGAACAGTACTAATTAACTACAAAAAAAGTTAGTGATCAGCCTCTTCCTCTATAAACGATGACCAATTAGATGTTTCCATAATTCCATGTATTATGTATAGTACACTCTATAAATGTAAATGTAATGCTTGTCTAAAAAGTGCAATTTATTGTACATTGTCCCAACAAATGTTTACTTTTATAATTGTTATGAACTTGAATTGGATTAGTATTTTGTTTTTATGTGTGAATGAAGCCTTGTGAAATAAACAAATGCAACTGAGAAGGTAACAAGGTGACTGTTTTTGTGAGCCAGTGATGTTTTCAATGCTTTGTGTTGCCCCTTTGGCCCCATTAAGCAGTAATAAACATTTGTTCTGAAGTCCATGTATGTCTTTTTAATTTTTTTTAGTTGACTTTATTCTGACTCATTTGAACCCAATGTTTATGTAACACTTCTTACACCTGACACTAGACTCCAGTCAACTTAGAAAACAGTATATACCCTGCAAAAATGATATCCTGTGCAGCACCACCACAAAGTGCCTTATTTTCCTCTCTACTGAGGTTCCTTGATTCCAAGTAACAGAAACCTTTGCAAGCTAGCTTAATAATAGTAATTTTAAGAGGCAATTAACCAAAAGGAAATAGGATATCTGTATCATAGGTCCCAAAGGCCAAACACTTGGGCCTGAACTGGCACTAGGACAAGGGGCTGGAATGCCATCAGGACCCTGAAAGCAATTGTTCCCATAATTGTGCTTCTGCTTGTCCTTCCAGATGACACTTACCTGCTTCATTCTTCTCTCTGAAAACAGGCTTTCTCTGCTTCTAAGTACACAGCTACCAAGTTTACATATCCTCTCTTCAAACTACCAGCAGAAGACTGCCATCTCAATTGTTCCAATCACAAGTTCTGGAAAAAAAATATGATTGGCTAATCCTGGGTCAGGTAGCTGCTGTTAAGTCCTTTAAGGTACAGCAAGGTAGGAGATATATAACTCAAACTAAACTTCAGAGGCACTTATGAAAGTGGAAATCGTGTGCAGAGAATCCCAATCATATCTCATTTGCATTTGCATTTTGTTCTGGGAATCCACGGAACCCAAGTGAAATACCAAGAGATTGGTCAGCTCCTCTTGGAATTCGGCATGTATTAAAAAATAATAAAAGACTGTAAGATTACAGATTTTGGTCCACATTCAGACCACAGACATCTTTCGTTTGGCCATGTGGTGTTTTCTGTTTGTTTTCTGAGACGGTCTTGCTCTGTCACCCAGGCTGGAATGCAGTGGCGTGATCTCAGCTCACTGCAATCTCCACCTCCCAGGCGCAAGTGCCTCCCACTTCAGCCTCCCAAGTAGCTGGGACTACAGGCAAGCACCACCACGCCTGGCTAATATTTCTATTTTTTACAGAGACAAGGTTTTGCCATGTGGCCAGGCTGGTCTCAAACTCCTGAGCTCAAGCAATCCACTTGCCTCAGCCTCCCAAAGTGCTGGGATTACAGGCATCAGCCACTATGTCTGGCCCCCTCTGGTATTTTAAACAATGTGAAATTTTACATAAAAAGTAAAACAAAATTACTCAGAAGTGCTCACTTCAACAGCATATACACTAAAACTGTAATCTACAGAGAAGATTGGCATGTCCCCTGCACAAGAATGACACACAAGTTAATTAAGCAGTCCATATTTTGCACAGTCCCCAGAAGGTCATTTCTTTATCTGCTGACAAGCCCCAAGAGAACAGTATGAGTCATAGCAAAAAAAATTCAAAATTCAAAATATCCATTGAATTTGGCAGTTAGGAAATCATGAGTAAGCTTGACAGGTACAATAACTGGGGGAAGCACAAAGGCTGCCTGCAATCGGACAATTGAATGAGAAATAATTTCATTTTGAAAAGAAAATTATTCCAAACTTTGGAAACAAGGCAAAAAGGTGAGTGGCATGTCCTTTCAGTGTCAAACCAAGGACTAGGGGATTGCACTTTGTTTATTTCATTGTTTACTATTGATTTAAAAGTCCTATACTGAATCTATACAGTAACTTCTAGATTTTTGTCCAATAAGAATGCAAATCCCTACTTCCTTTCCAGTGGAACAGATAACACCAAAAGTTAGAGTTTATTACCCTGTGACACATTAACAGGTTTGTATCTAACCTTCCCACCTTATACTAACATTACATTGTTAAATTGCCTATAAATACCTGGCTACTCAAATACACTCTCATTAACCAATGAGTTGAATTAAGTATTTGTCACATGTCCATTTATATTTGCATAATATTGTCTGGAAAAGCCTCCCTTAGTGTTACTTCTGAAAGACCTAAACAGAGTGAAGAAACGATCTGTGTGATGAATTGGAGGAAGAGGATTACAAGTGGAGAGAAAGCTGGGTACAGACTTGGAGGCAAGAGCAAACCCAGTGGGTTCAATGAATAAGAAAAATGCCAGACTGTTTAAATCAGGGAGTGGGGAAGGAAGAGTGGTGAGAGATGGGTTCTGATGTGAAGCTCATAAAGGTGAGATAAGATACGTAAAACACTCAAGTTCACAGTAAGGAGTTTGTACTTTATTCTAAGCCTAATAGGAAGCTGTCAGAGGTTTTTAAGCAAAGGGATATAATGATCAGAAAAGATATCGCAGGCTGCTCTGTGGAAAACTAACCCTAAAGGCACAATGGGGAAGCAGAGAAACCAGTTAGGAAGCTAAAATCTCAGACAAAATAATGATGGCTTGCACCTGGGTGTGTAGGGTAAGAATTATCTTTTCCTTCTACCCATTTTAGGCTCATTGGCTTGGGATGCTGTAACAAAAGACAAATTAACAAGAGAAAAGCATAAATATTGTTAGTTTTACATAACATGCAAACTTCATAAAGAAATAAAGACCCAAATAAATAGTTAACCTTAGTGTTCTTTAGAGTAGGTTTGAAGAAGAATGAAGAATTGTGGGAAAATGTGATGGGGCTAAAAGACTGTGATCTAAGGGTAATAAACTGGGGGAAACTTAGCAAGGCCTGATGTTCATATTCATCTCTACGTTCCTGTGTTTTCAGAGATAAAGATGTTACTTTTATTCCAGGTATAGACAGGGCAACTCTCACATGAGGGTATTACGTCCTGCTTCAGGGCAGAAAGGTGCAAGAAAGTTAGACACATTACTGCATATGTTCTTTCTCAAATTCCTTCAGTTTATTCAGTATGTCTAGGTGCCATATTCTTGGGTAGCATGCCCCAAACCCCGTCAGGTGGTAGAAGCAGAGGTTGTGAGAAGTCGTTTAATTCGCTACATATTTTGAGATTAAGCTAGTAAGGCTTGCTGTATGATAAGATGTAAGGCCTGAGATAGAAGACTCACCTGTGACTCCTTAGCCTGAGCAATTAAGAGAATGAGGTGACTGCATTAGGTCAAGCTTTCACTCGGTGCAGTGCGATATTTGTTTTTATTTAATTATGTATTTAACAATTCCAGGCTATTGGTTGGCCACTTAAAAAAAATACGATAAAATACACAGCTCTTAGGAGTTCATCCCATGAACTTTGACAATTGTATGTATAGGTGTAATATTTCTATTACCTTGGCAAATTCCCCCCCACCCCCGCAGGGCCTTAAATATAACCTATAGAAGAAACTACGTACATAAAAATACGTTTACAACTTAATTTCTTTTTTTTTTTTTTTTGAGACGGAGTCTCGCTGTGTCGCCCAGACTGGAGTGCAGTGGCGCGATCTCGGCTCACTGCAAGCTCCACCTCCCGGATTCACGCCATTCTCCTGCCTCAGCCTCCGAGTAGCTGGGACTACAGGCGCCCGCCACCTCGCCCGGCTAGTTTTTTGTATTTTTAGTAGAGAGGGGGTTTCACCATGTTAGCCAGGATGGTCTCGATCTCCTGACCTCGTGATCCACCCGCCTCGGCCTCCCAAAGTGCTGGGATTACAGGCTACAACTTAATTTCTAAAGTGAACCCACCTATCTATAAATCAGTGTCTAAATCAAGTAACATTACCGGAACCTCAAAAGCCCCCTGGTGGCTCTTCCACGTCATTGTCCTTCCCACTACGCTCATTAACACCGTGGGCTAGTTTTTAGACTTCATTTAAATTGAACCACACAATATGAACTCTTCTGTGTCTGGCTTCTTTCCCTTAATGTCATTTTTTGTGTGAAATTCACGCATGTTGCGCTTCGGTAATTTATTTTTGTACTGTACTTCCGATTCTTTATTACAGATAACGGTCAGCCTCCATTTCGCTAAGAGCTTTTTTTCCTCTCTGAGTTGCTGATTCTAATCGCTGCCTTGGGCGGTCTATAAAGCTGAGTGCTCGCTATGTGACCTCTCAGGGGTCGCCGTCTTGGACGATCAAAAAAGCTGAGCGCGGACTATGTGATCTCTGAGGGGTTGTTTCCAACCGTGTTGTTGACATCTTGAGCCTGCCAAGGACTAGAATAACCTGAAAACTAGGCTTCTCTGGGGTCTCGCTGAGAGGCAGCGTTAGAACCAGAAGAGAACATCGTCTCCAGAAGACATTCCACCATTTTCTTTGATGGTAAACAGGCTTACTTATACCGAATCCAAACCCAGGCGAGAACTACGGACTCTTGAAATGGTCGGTGAAAGAGGCGAAAGCACCAGGAAATTATGCTTCAACAGTCCACGACAAAAGGAGGGTCTGAAACTGTGGCCAAACGCCGACCCTTTCGTTAGGGCCTTGACCTGGGCTTCCGCCACGGGGCCGGGTCATGTGGCCAACGCAGCTCCACCTCCTACCGCGGCCAATGATGACGACACCAGGTCGGAGCGGACAGACCGCGGTGACGTCTCCACTGCGGCAAACTCACTGAAAATCAAACCGCTACCATTAGGAGGCCTCCACGCTTAACATATCCATTCTTTCTCGTTTGAACATAACCAGGCTGCTCCTTCTCCCCATTTTTTGCCTTCTCGCGGAGGCTGAGAGACTAGCCTTACACGACATGGCTGCCTGGTGTGTCTGGATCCTAGAACGGACGGAAGACTCTACTCAACTTCCGACTTGGACTCCGAAAATCGGTACGTTATTTCCGGGGCTGGGTTAAGGCAGCGGTTCCGAGCTGCGACTGCGCAGCCTGGCCTAGCGCGGTCAAATTACAATACATAAAGTTGTCGGGGCGGAGAGGAAGGCGTTACTCTTCTCGGACTGCCGGTTCGCTCGCGAGACTTGAGCGTTGCTAGGAGATTCGGCAGGCGGGCGGAGCCAGACTCGGCGGGGCGGGGAGGGGCGGGGCCACACTCTGCGAGGCGGGGAGGGGTGGGGCCAGGCTTGGCGGGTGGAGCGTGCTCGCGGTGGGCGGTGGCGGCGGCGGCGGCCTCGCGAAGGTTCCAGATCCGTCGCGTGCGGGAGGCGGGCCGCGATCTCGCGCAGGGTCGGTGTGCTCGCGGGCTGCGGCGCCGCGACTCGTGCGAGTGGGCGTCTGCGCTCGGTTTGAGGGCTCCGCGCGGCGTTTCCTGTTCTCTCCTCTGCGCGGCTGCAGCTCGGGCCTTCGGCCTGATCCAGCCCCCATGGCTTCAGAAGAGGTAAGTGGTTCGGCCCCATCTTCTTCATGCTCCCCGGCTGGAGCTGCAGCGCCAGCCTCCCGCCCCACCGCCGTTTCCGTGGACTGAGCCGCCCTGCGGCGACCCGGTGCCGCGGCAGTCGGCGCGCCGCCTTCCCTGGGGGACGCCTCATTCGCCCTTTCCTGCGCCGTCGGCTCCCCGCGCTTCCCCTCGGCCTCGCACCCCACCCGCCTGCCGGGCCGGAGCAGGGCTGTGCGGCGATTCTCCGTGCAGGCGATGCGGAGAGTGGGTCTGAGAGAGCTGCCCCCTGCGCGTGTTCCTCAGGCCCTTTCTGCGCTGGTTTCCCAGCCAGAGGACAGGAAGCTTCATTCAAAAGCTGGGTGCAAACATGAGTGTCGTTTATGGTAGAGGGCGGTTGGAGGGTGAGAAGTTTTCGGTGCTAGCACTTGAATTCTCTTAGTCATGTTTTCTCTACACACGAGGAGCTGTGTTACTCTGGGCAAGTTGTTTAGCTTTTCAGTGTCGCAGTAGCATCCGTTTCATAGAGTTGTTAAAAAGTATGATTTCTAGGTGTTTAAACCAGTGATTGGCAAACAGCAATCTGCTGTATGTGATTTTTAAAATAAATAACTTGGAAAATTAGTTGTAATTAATAGTAAGAAACCCAATGGCCTGTGTTAAAGCTCCGTAAACTCTGAACGTTGGAGAATTAAATTTTAGGGAGACTTGGTTTGCTCAGTTAGAAAATGGGAATGATAGTACTTGTATTGCTCATTTCCTGGCCTAAGGGGGAGGTGAAGACGGAACAGTTATTCACAGTTAAGTGTTGTGTGTGTAGTAACTAGATTTGCTTTATGAAAACAAGTACTGGGAAATCCCAAGCCTTTTTTTTTTTTTTAACTCAAAATCTTTTCTTTAAATGAAAAACTCTGAGATTTGTGTGTTCTAGTATTAATCTAGGTATCTTGTGACAAGTCTTTTAAGGTAGGTCTTGGGTACTATGTGCCCCTAGGAGAGAACTTCACAGTCATGCAGGTGGATAGCTCAGTATTAGTCCTCTTGAGAGTAGAGAACGTTCTCAGTTTAGGTACTTAGAAGTAGACATTTAAGGGCACTTCATTTTTGTTTTGTTTGAGATAAAATTCAAGTTTTTAACCATTTTAAAGTGTATAATTCAGGTATTTTGGTTTTTTTTTAAAGTATATTCAGTGTAGTGCAGCCATCACCACTGTCTAGTTTCAGAACATTTTCATCACTCCAAAAAGAAACCATTTAGTGTCTTTTAAACAATTGCTTCCTATTCCCCCTCAGCCCCTGACAACTACTCATCTTATACTTTCTGTGAATTTGCGGATTCTAGGCATTTCATATAAATGGAGTCACGCTGTATGTGGCCTTTTGTTTTTTGGCTTCTTCAACTTAGCACTAACATTTTCAGGTTCATCCATGGTGTAGAGTGTATTAGTACACATGCTCTTTATGGCTAAATAATATTCTATTATATGCGTATGGCACATTGTGTTTATCCTTTCATCCGTTTATGGACATTTATTTCCACTTCTTTTTTTGAGATGGAGTCTCGCTCTGTCGCCCAGGCTGAAGTGCAGTGGCGCAGTCTCGGCTCACTGCAATCTTCGTCTCCCGGGTTCAAAGGATTCTCCTGCCTCAGCCTCCTGAGTAGCTGGGATTACAGGCGCGCGCCACCATGCCCTGCTAATTTTTGTATTTTTAGTAGCGACCGGGTTTCACCACGTTGGCCAGGCTCGTCTCGAACTCCTGATCTCAAGTGATCTGCCCGCCCGCCTCGGCCTCTGAAAGTGCTGGAATTACAGGTGTGAGCCATGGCGCCCTGGCTTATTTCCACTTCCTGACTAGCATAAAAATAATGCTGCTGCGAGTGCTGTGTACAAGTTTTTTGTGTGGATGTGTTTTCAGTTCTCTGGGGTATATACCTAGGAGTGGAATTACTGGTTCAAATGGTAACTTTTTGAGAAACTGTTAGACTATTTCCAGAGTGGTTGCATCATATTTCCACAAGAAGTGTTTGAAGCTTCTAGTTTCTCCACATCCTTATCAACATTTGTTATTTTCTGGGGTGTTCTATTTTTGTTTTTTGGTTTATAACACCATCTTGCTGGGTGTGAAGTGGTATCTTGGGAATTTGATATGCGTTTACCCAATGATGAAGATGTTGAGCATCTTTAATGTTCTTGGTGTCCATTTCTGTATCTTTGGAGAAATGTGTGTTGAATTCCTTTGCCCATTTTTGAGGCATATTGGTGTTGATGCCTCCTAGTGAAAAATTAGGAAATAGGAAGATAGAGCTTGAATGCGTTACAGGTAGGGATAAAAGGGAAATAAAATTTTTATATACGTAAAACAAATACATGCCAAGAAGGCAAGGAAAATTACATGATAAATTAGATAAGAAACTATCTAGGACATCTTAAAGTATTTGTGCAGAAAAAGCAGATCTTTTTTTGGTTTCAAGTCTGCCAACAACAGAACTGAGGAACTGTCTCAGTTTTAAGTTTTTTCAGTGGATACTTTATAATAAAAAGAGTAATTTAGAGCCAAAACTGGCAATAAAGAGGGCTTGGGAATTCATCCATTGGGGGAATCCCTTGCCTAATTTGAATTACTTTTCTGATTCTGCTAAAGCATTCCTATTTCAGTCAAAAAGCAAAACCTCATACTTAGACTTATTATATTTCATTTTACATTTCAATATTTTATGAATTAGGAGTTGTAGAATCAGCGTTTTTTTTTTTGAAACCATTAAAATGTATTATTTTGAACTGAAACATCTTGGTTCTATGCTTAAAAGACGAGTTTGCAAGAGTTTTTGTCATAGTAATATGAGCTGTTCTTGGAAGGGGAGAGTGTGGACAAGAGGGTTGGGCAGAGTTGAACTTTTTTTTTTTTTGATACTGAGTTTTGCTCTTGTTGCCCAGGCTGGAGTGCAATGGCGCGATCTCGGGTCACTGCAACCTCTGCCTCCCGGGTTCAAGCAATTCTCCTGCTTCAGCTTCCTGAGTAGCTGGGATTACAGGCACATGCCACCATGGCCGCCTAATTTTTGAATTTTAAGTAGAGACGGGCTTTCGCCATGTTGGTCAGGTTGGTCTCGAACCCCTAACTTCAAGTTATCCACCCGTTTGGCCTCCCAAAGTGCGGGGACTACAGGTGTGAGCCACTGCACCCGGCGAGAGTTGAACTTTTTATACCATGTCATCTGTTGTAGATAGGCAAAACTAGGGCATCTGAGTTAAATGAGATAATAAAAGACTAGTAGTAAAAGAAAAGAATTAGTTCTGTTACTGCATTTTATAAGACTATTAAGAAACAAAGGCTTTCAAACGCTGTTGTGCGTCTGATATTCTGAGTTATAAAGCACTAAAAGACTTTTAAATTGAGCTTTTGATATAATCAAGCTGTGACACAAGATTTTTTTGGTCAAGTTGCTAGTATCAAGCTAGAGTGTAAAGTTACTGTAAGAAGTGAAACAGCTGTTTGGAAAGATCTTGTGTATTTGCAGTATGTCAGAGGGTAATTGGGGGAAAAAGACTTAGGCTCAATAATTTTCTAACATTGTCTTTAACTCTTGAATTTCATAAAATGTTGCCTCTATCTCTCGAAAGTAAAAAGAAGTAGACTTTAATAGATGATGGATTGGCATGAGAAGAAAATGAGAACGTGGTGGCCTTTTCAAAAGATAATTTCCAAGAGTATGTTGCATTTTGGGTCTTTTGTCACCTTCTATGCAACCAACTCCTACACTTCTAACTGTAAGACTGACCCAGCTTCAGAGCAAGACTTTTTCTCAAAAGCAGAAATTTTTTTTTTTTTTTTAATATTTTGTCTTAAAAATTCGGACTCTCTTTATTTGAGGTATTTGAGGTGGGAAGATCAGTGAAGACCAATCAGTGACAGAAAATGGAGCATTCATTACCTCAGTAAAGTTTGCTGTGTAGCATTTTAGCATGGTCACTGTGTGTTCTCTCATCTCTTAAATTTTTAAAAGTGTCTAACATCTAATGACACTCGGATTAGATGTTAAAGGAAATCTCTGAATCCCTTGTCAAAAAAAATGTCTTTGTTTTACTGTTTAAATCGCAGATGTTTCTTGTAAATATTTTAAAGCAAATATAAACTGGAAAATTTGGGTTTGATTACCTATTTATTGTTTGTTCAAGATTGTTCAAAGTTTTCCTTTTGGGAAAAAAAGGAAGCTTGAGTTAATTACAGTTAATAAGCCGGAGGGAAGAACTGAAGTTGCAACTCAATCCTAGAAAATTTAGATGAACCTCTTAATTTTTAGTGCTTATTTCAGTAAGTTGAAATGAGTGATAAGCACAATATCAAGCTATTTCCTTATTGATCATAGCTAACTTATTTTTTGTCTTAACACAGCTACAGAAAGATCTAGAAGAGGTAAAGGTGTTGCTGGAAAAGGCTACTAGGAAAAGAGTACGTGATGCCCTTACAGCTGAAAAGTCCAAGATTGAGACAGAAATCAAGAACAAGATGCAACAGAAATCACAGAAGAAAGCAGAACTTCTTGATAATGAAAAACCAGCTGCTGTGGTTGCTCCCATTACAACGGGCTATACAGTGAAAATCAGTAATTATGGTATGACTTGCTTCCCTGTGGCCAGTTTTGCCTCCGAGCAACCTATTCCTCATATCTAACAAATTCATCTTTAAATGAGTTTTGAGGCTGTGTTTTCGGTGGCTTGGAGGAAGACCCATCAGTTTTTATTTAATAAAACTTTCTTTAGATAGAAATAGGAAAGGATACATTCTAGAAGCTGTTAACAAGAATAAGGTGATTTACTACAAAGATGAGGAGTAGCAACAAGGAAGGAACTTATTCTGAAATTATTCAATATATATGAGGCACCACTTTGGTGGTGGTAGTGGTTTTTAATCATGTTTTATGTTTTACTCTGACAACCACTACAATTAACTGAGGAGAGGAATCCAGTTAAATTCAGGAAATATTTTTGAGCACCTAATGTATATCACTATTGTGCTTGGACACAACAGTGACTAAGACCCAATCCTTTCTCATGGTGTGGTTGGGACATAGACATATGACTCATAGCATAACAATGTATTAGCAAAAACTAATACTGTTTTCCTTCAATGGTGTATATAGTGTGTTTGTTTTGGCGGCAGTGCAACTTCAATGAGAGTGATGAGCTCTCATTGGAGCAAGGACAGTCTGGTTTTTCTTTGTGCTAATAATGTCTAGCACATAATAGGTAACATAGCTGAGGAAATAATTCTGGAGGTGAGGAACAGGGAGAATTAGATGAGTGTGAAGGGTGAGCTGTATGTTCAGCAAAAGGAAGGGAACAGCATGAGCAGAGGACATGAATAGAGACTTGGAAGGCATGATCTATTTTGAGTATTGTTATAGTGAAAAGCATGTGTATGTCGTGCTTAAGTGATGTACTATATAGTACTACATGAAATTGCACCGTGTACTCAGTTGAGTATGGGAAACTGGTCTGAAGGTGTTTAGGATTATGGCATTTTAACCAGGAACATAGATTTGTGTTGAGGGAGAAACTTGTCAAACCGGAGGATGGACTGACTGGGAAGAAACTATTAATAAATGAAGTTCTCTGGAACCCTCTAGGGCATTTTTTTGATCAACACTATGTTTCTTTTTAATTTTCGTGGGTACATAGTAGGTGTATGTATTTATGGGGTACATGAGATGTTTTGATACAGGCATGCAGTGTGAAAACACGTCATGGAGGATGGGGCATGTTTCTATTCCGTAGGACTAAGTGAGGAAGAGTCAGGGATATGTATGTATATATTCTTGATAAACAGAAGATGCTTTTTGTGAAGTTTTTTATTTTCTACAAATACGATGGTATTTTGTGAAGCGTATATGTCTTGTATGTTGACAGAGTTCTTCTAGGGTAGAGACTTGCTGGTAGGTTGATAATACATAGTGAAATGGCATTTAATAGATACCAGTAGGTTTGTCAGATTTGGATGAAGAATTGGAGTCGTTTACATTCTGCTTTGCCCTGGAAAGGAATTAAGAATGCTAGGATTCCATTTGTTATAGTACTTAGAGAAGTAGAAATGGTTATGGAATTAGACAGTATTGATACTTAGCCATCCAGCTTAGTGGAGAACTACCGATACTTAGATGTAGGACAAAATTGTTTCCATAAAAGCAGTAAATGAACTAATCTTAAAGAATGTATTTAGTGATCGTATTTTTATTCTGAAGGATAAAAAGAGCATAGGCTTTGTATTCAGAAACCTGGATTTGAATCTGAATTCTATCACTTGTTAGATGCCTAACTTTGGGTAGAGTACTTAACTGCTTTGAGGCTCCATTTCTCAACCTAGAAAATTTCTTGGGTTTCAAATTTTTGTATGACTGGATTTTCATAATTTTACTTTCCTGAGTTATGAGCCATGTGCATTTGCTGTTCTAGAGATAGTTTCAGAGACTTACTTATGTCCCATCTTTTGTTGTCGTTGCCAGGATGGGATCAGTCAGATAAGTTTGTGAAAATCTACATTACCTTGAGTGGAGTGCATCAAGTTCCCACTGAGAATGTGCAGGTGCATTTCACAGAGAGGTGAGTTCTCATTATATTGGGAAAGACGGTGATCATTAACAGTCAACATTGCCTTATCTTGAGACTCTTTTCTTTGCAGTTTTTAAAATTCTTCTTAAATTTAGAATTAATTATCCTTTACAACTACTTTCAAGAGGTGAGCATTAACTGGCCAAATGCACACCCTGAAATAAAGCCAGCAGCTTTTTTTCCACTCTTACGGAGTAAGAGTACCTTTCATAGAACTAGAAAGATGATGTATTCACCATTGTGTTGCAGGTCATTCGATCTTTTGGTAAAGAATCTAAATGGGAAGAGTTACTCCATGATTGTGAACAATCTCTTGAAACCCATCTCTGTGGAAGGCAGTTCAAAAAAAGTGAGTGCTTTTTTTGGTCGTAATATTCTGAAACCTTACCAGATTGAACCTAGCTGATTTAGAATTGAGATGAACTGGAATGAATTTGTCCTGTAACAGGGACCACTGCCTGTTTTGTGAATGTTTTATTGGGACATAGCCAGGCTTATTTGTTTGTGTGTTGTTTGTGGCTGCTTTTGTGCTACAATGGCAGAGTTAAGTGGCTGCAGCAGACCATATGGCCCTAAGTGAAACCTAAATATTTACTGTGTGGTCCTTGACAGAGAACATTTGCCAACTCCTTTTGTAGAAGAATAGGCTGTTGTAAGAATATTCCATTAAAATCAGGAAGGAAGTAAACGTTTGAAGGTAGTTAAGAGTGAGACTTGAGTTTTATGCCAGGTTTACCGCTTATTGTTTGTGACCTTTGGCAGCTTAATCACTCTGTGCCTCAGTTTCTGCATTTATGCAATAGTAATAATTTATTTCACAAAGTTGAAATGATACACTGAAGTGCAATACCATATGTAAAGTGCTTAAATTAATGGTAGTGTTGGCATTGTGCATAATACTCGTATACATAAAAGGAGGTCTTAAGCACTTAGCTTCCTTGGAGTTAGAAACAGCTATAAAAATAAGGAAACTGTCGAGGTGGCGGGTGCCTGTAGTCCCAGCTACTGGGGAGGCTGAGGCAGGAGAATGGCGTGAACCCGGGAGGCAGAGCTTGCAGTGAGCGGAGATCCGGCCACTGCACTCCAGCCTGGGCGACAGAGCGAGACTCCGTCTCAAAAAAAAAAAAAAAAAAAAAATGTAAATACTCTTTATAATTTTTACTAAATCAGATAGTCCCTCTTTTCTGCCTAATTTGAATAAATGAAGTTTAATGCATTAGGTATATACATATGCCATTCTGCCATCTGTTTTTATAATACATAATTACTTAACAGCTTACAGGTGATACTCAAATATAGTTGGATTTGCTGTCTTCCTGCACCCTTCTGCATCCACTAGTCCCGTACGTAGAGTACCAAAAGATCCCTAGAAGTCGTATTGATCATTGTTTAAAGACCTGTACATTCATTGCCCTTCTTTCACACTTTCCAAATGCCTCACCTTGCTCCATACTGCCTTATGTGACTTGGTTTCTTGCCTATCCTGGACCCCTCTTATTATATTACTATCTCTCTCAGTCACTAAAATCTAGCCACTCCTCCTGCTCCTCAAACACACCAAGATCATCCCATCTTGGAGCCATTCTACATGACTCTGCCAGCTGCCTTCTCCTGACCTTAAGCTTCAGCTCAGATTTTGCCTCAGGGAGGCCTTCCTAATGAAGTTCCTGCTCCCACCCCCATTAACACCTGCTTTGTCTTGCCAGCACTTTCTAGGATATGACGGTATTCAAGTTTTACTTATTTACGGTCTTTTCACGCCATGAATGTTCAGATTTTGGCCTATTCATACAAGTATTACTAGCATCCCAAATAAGTCTATACATACCAGGGACTTGATTAATTAAATAATTGTTTTGTCTTCTAAGCTGTATTTGTTTTCCCGCTTTTCTTCCAGGTCAAGACTGATACAGTTCTTATATTGTGTAGAAAGAAAGTGGAAAACACAAGGTGGGATTACCTGACCCAGGTTGAAAAAGAGTGCAAAGAAAAAGAGTGAGTCTACTTTCATTTTTTAAAGAATTTTAGTGTATTGTTTTAGATCATAGATTTTTAAGTTTGTCTTTATGGATAATATATTTCTGCTTTCAACTGTCAGAAACTACCTGAAGAGGGCGCGTCCAGCAAGTTGCTTTTTAAGGTCTTTGTAGTTAACAGTTGGCTCTTTAGTGTGGTTGTTAACCCTAGGCACTTCTATACAAATACTGTGCCCATTCCCAGATACTCTGTTTCAGTAGTTCGAGAGAGGCTCAGATACCCCTGTATGTTTTAAATTTCTCAGATGTTTGTGATACGTAGTTGTTTTCATTGTCACTGGTTTAGAGTGAAAAAGATAAAATATTTTTATCCTCCTTAATAATGACCTTTTAAAAATGTTTATTCAATGATACTTGCATTCTAGGTCAGTTCATCTTCTAGAGGTACTGACTAATTCAAGACTCAGGTCCAGATCTGTGTATCTCAGGCTTAAGAGGAGAACTTTTCTAATTATAAAATACATAAGCTTCAGGGTACATCCATGTGTAATGTTTGTGATTTTCCCTCAATTTTTTTTTTCCAAATTATGAGGAAACATGCTTTTAAAAAATGAAAACAAGTTAGAAAATCAAATCTTT